AGTATTTTTGCTGTCCTTAGATTTTTTTTTTGAAATATGGCAACTCTGACATATGCAACGAAATTAGTCTAAACGTTCACAGGAACCTATCCTCCTTAGGTGAAAATATATAATACTATAGAAATCACAACTTCTACTCACTTATTTGACATTATCGCTTGAGATAACGTAAAAAATATCCGTTAGTCGCTAGTATGAAATCTCAATGGGATATCCGTTTCGTAAATCCACATAAAAATGCTTCCAAAATGATAGAAGTGTTTTTCGATGGAATATGAAGGGTTAGAGTTTTATTTCAGTGCCTAGTGTTGTTGCTGAATTTGATGTGGTGATGTTTAGAACTCGCTTTTTTCGCACAGTGCAGGTGTTTTAATTATAGTTGAAATTTAGTTACTTATGTTTAGTTAAGTCAGGTTAGTGAAATACTGTTATTGTTTAATATTACGTGAAGTTTTTAAAATTTAAGTTATGAATGAAAAATGTTGAATTAGTACTGTTATTTTGAAATTTTAATTGTTGTAACTGCAAATTATTTGAAATTATTTGAGGCCTTTCACTTATTTATATAAAGCATTGCTGACGAATTTGCGTTTGCACACACCTCGAAACGTGTAATTAGCACCTTTTTCATTTCTTGCACAGATTCGTAAATGCCAGCCAGCGGTTTTGAGACGCAATTGCCCGCACAGACGGCCAAATTTAGTGACTGAGCCAGTTGAGGAAGACTACATAAGCGATTTAGCACACGAAATAATGGCAATAACTGTTAATTGGGCACATGGAAGTGTTGTGTATATAAAAAATATAAGCTTAGCACAAACTTAGTTAGTTGTTATACGAAATAATTATTATAATATTGACACTTATTCATATATTTTGCACATTTTTTAGTTTTTATTTACATTTTTCAAACGATTTATCTTTGCTTTTGAGCCTTGAAACACTATTCTTCACTTATTGATTATTTTCTTATTGGATTTCTCACTTCTTAAACCATTACTTTTATGCTTAAGCGTTAGCACACGGATCTATTTAAGCATTTTTCTGCCTCGAACACGTCGCTTTCAAGATTTATGTACTATATGCACTATATATGTGTTTGCTTTGTGCTGCATTGCACTCTCGTACCCGCGCTCGCGCATTCTATTAGATCTAAATACAAAATTAACTTCGCGGCTACGCGGCTACGTGTTCCGAAAACCAAGTTGCGCTTAAGTTCAACGTTAAAAAGTAACTGAATTCCGAGTAAACGCTCAAACCGCTGAGCACTGCATTGGTAAGATCGATCGTACGCTGAAACACTCTCRCGGCGTGGCGCGGCGTACTTTCTTAACAYGAGACTTACCTTGCTTCAGCTGCTACGGGCCGCCCGAAAAGACCGGCTTCAACAAGTCTAGGCGCGTTGCCAGTTGGTTGACTGTAAAGAAAGACGAGTAAAGACAATACACAAGCAACAACAAACACAGCAACGTAGCTACCTTGCACTTCCCGCGCGGGTCCCCTGTATGCCATAATACACACAGTAGTGACGAGTTGGCTGCTGACTGACTGGCTTTACCTGTGGCTCCGCGCACACCTTTGCGCTCGGAACTGTGTTCGTTCATGTTTGCTCTCAAACATGTTCGATCGCCCTCAAGCGSAGCTTTGGTTTTGCGGTCGTGTTGGGCTTTGTGACACGCCAAGAAACTGGTTAGTTGGCTTAGACGAAAAGCGGTCGTGTTAAAGTGCGCCACACATTGGATATTMCTGATTCTTAAGCATAATTCTTGCAGTCGGTACGTGCCACACTAATGGCCGTCGTGGCTCACGAGGTACGAGAAATCGATGACATTGACTTTTTGGTAGCTACACACATATGTGTGTGTGTGTGTAAATATTGGTGTGAGAAGAAAAAAATAGAAAAAATGATAAATCGTTAGAATCAAAGAAGCAGTCGGTAATTCGCTTGAGTTTGGCCCAGTCTTCGCCAAAGGCAATGACACGGCAAAGACTTCGTTAGCATAATGGAAGAATTAATATAATGGCAAAGAAGAAACTGAGAGAAGAACTTARTGGACTTGGAAGCTGTATGAAATTGAAGTTCATCAAACAAATTTTTAGAATATGTTAAACTTAATTATGATAGAAAATACCTCAGAGCTGTACGACGGTTCAGTTTTATAATCAATATTGAAGTATAGTATATGATAATTAGCATCTCTGCTTTTCCCAATAGGAATGGACAGTTCGAACAATCAGCTAGCAAGCAGAYATTCTCAGGCTCAATATGGATATTTCAAAAAACCGCTATTGAGAATCGTTCGTAGAGACCATTTCTAAATAGAATCATCCATAGATGCCATTGTCTCCTGAGACAGAATGGTCCATTAAGATGTCATTGTCTGCTGAGATCTCAATAATCGCTTATAAATATAATCGTCCGTAGAGATGTCATTGTCTCCTGAGATTTCACTAAATGTTTCTAAAACTATAGGTTATTTAATAAAACTGGATAACCTATGACTAACCAATACAAATTCAATAATATATATTTTTGAGGACTCTTCCAAACAACATTTCTCAAAGGTGGAACCGTTAGAAGATAAMAGTTAACTAAGCGGGACACCAATTTCAATACATTTCTTAAGAAAAGAGACTAAAAATGTTTTGAAGACGCGATATGACTCAGATACTGCTAGGGATTAAAAGCAAGAGGTTTCGTATGGATATTGCACCCTTATCAGAGGTATGAAATCTTGAGGGGCATTTACGGAACRACACTAGTCTATGCTAAAAGCTCGCAAATATTGATTTGGCTAAKATCAGTTTCGGCTGTGACTTCTGATTTGCCGAAGATCATACTGCCGAGATGTTTTAATCTCCTCAATCCTAACAAGGAGCTCACTTGGACAGCTTAGTCGCCCCTCCGTTAGGAWACCTAAAGCTGCTATATAATAGATCAACAGACGCTTACAAATCGACAATGCTCTTTGGACCTGTCATAAGKATATTGAACTGGATAATGTCAGTTTCGGACGTCTGGTTCACCRAAGTTGAGACTGCCTAGATKTTTCAATCTCAATCTTGCAAAGKCTAAGGCTGAACATGGATGTTTCCACCCCAGCATCCGGCAAGATTTTTAGCATTATCGCATGAATACCTATTGGAAAGTGTCCAGTAAGAAAGGGTCACCAACCAGCCTGCGAAGGGACGCGATGTTCATTGGTCCAGTGCTAGAACGCAATGTAGATCTAACTCGGTTTCTTTCCGATGTAAGCCACTGACAACCTTATCGGCTTTGCATTTGCCAACGATTACGCTGTGACAGGCACCCATACGAGTCTGATGATGAAATAGCTTAATGCTCTTTTTAGTGAGGACAGACACTCTTTGACTAGCTTTGAGCACAAGATACGAGGACTCAGCTTTGTATGGTTAAGACAAGTATTCTCCGATAAAATTGTCACTAACCAGGCTATCTACGAAACWACCAGCTGAGTTGAAACAATAGATATTTTGAGATAATTCAACGAACATCAAACCAAACATAAGAACCTTGCCTTTAACTCAGCACTACTAGCAGTAAAATATATACAAAAACATCTATGTATAGCTTTTGTCTCGAATAGAGGAAACATAAAACCTAAAATGCGTAACGTGTAAGAATTTTAATAGATTTTTTCCGACCGCAAAACCAAAAGCAGATCTCCATAACAAATTGCAAAATGAAAAGAGGAAGGTGAAGAACGAGATGCAAAAACCTCCATAGACCGACCACATGAACTCAAGAGCGAAACAAGCAAACAAAACAAATCAAAAAAGTGGTCAAGCGAAGAGATTTTTTTATATTATATACATATATATATATATATACATTTGTTAGAGAGATGTGTGTCCTTAAGTACGAGATGAATTGCAACAGTTGAATTTATGGACGAAACGTTGTAAATGGTTCGAGGAAGATATGGGCAGTCAAGCAACAACAACAGCCAACAATTTCGAGAACAAAACAAAACAGGTGATAACCAAATGCAATAAGCGAGGTATTTATGAGCAAGAAGTCAGAGCGAAGCGGTAAGGTCACGAAGACAATACAGAAGCAACGGTCATAATAAAAAAATAAAGAATTTGCGTAAACAAGGCAGACAATTTAAGCAGCAGCTTAAGCGTATTGTAAGTAAGTCTAARCACGTAAGGGAACACCGGTGGAAACTCGAAAAGGCAAAAAAACTGGATAACACTGTAAGACGACTAAAGACAGCGCGGTGTGGAGTCAGATCCTCAAGCAATCAATGTGAAAATCGCAGCAGTAAATTGGATTGCCAGACGTTAGCCAGAATCAGCCTTATGGCAGACAAATACTACTTTTACTTTTAAATTGGCTATCTGAACCTTCCAAAACATCATTTTAACCACGACAGGCTATGTWGATTAATTATAAGATATACAAATGTAACTTTCCTAACTTCACAAATGGAAGAACAGTAGTGGGTTGTGAAATTTTACTCAACGAATTTTTTAGGGTWTAGAGACCCTAGAACTTACAGATCCTATGCTAGAAAACGAGATTTAGATTTTTATTCKACAAATAGTGCTAAAACCAGAAGTCCATGAACTGCTTCACACAGTAAGTACTCTCATATATACTAGTTCTGAACCAGTTAAAAAGTATGGGATAGGAAATCACTTCTAAACTACTTTTTCATGCTTCTCACTTCAGGCACCGTACACTYCCTACAATAAAATTTATGCATGAATAGTAAGTACATACATACGCTCCCTTGTCGAGCTCCTCAAAGACCATATATCACTGGCTCATTGGTGCAGTCAGTGGTAACAAGAAACGCTGTCGCCGCGAGGAATGCAACGCCAGAAGGCGTTTAAAAACGATACCAAAGATACCGAAGTGTTTTTATGCTAGCGTGTGTGTATGTGTATGTGCGCCATTGATTTCACAATAAGACTTTCCGGTCATTTGTTTTCTGCATGCTACAGCAACAACGATACAATCGAAATCGAAAAATTCTTTTGTGATAATTAGATAGACGATCTTGTGGATATCGCGATTGGTTACACTTAATCACAGAGGTGATAAGCAACGCTAATTGGTAATGAATAGCTGAGATAGTCGAGAAGAGATTAATTAAATATTTGCTAAGTATCTTTTTAGGGTTTAKTATATAATATAATAGTTCATATCTTGCTTTCAAATATTTCGTTTGGGAAATATTTCGTCGTGGGAAATTGAATGCACATCAAAAAAAAAGTCTGGACCATAAGGCAGGTGAGGCAATACTTCCCTGAAGCTGAAATACAAATAGTTTTTAAGCGGTCTTGCATCGTGAGGTCGAGCTTTGTCATGATAGCAAATAAATGCGTCACGCCTAGTTCCGGACGTTTTTCGGCAAACATTCGCTTCAATTTGATAAGTGGAAAGCTCAGCGCTAGGTGAATTACACAGGAGGATGGCG